TGTCTGGTACCTAAAAAACAGTATTTCTGGTACCCAAAACTATTAGCAGTCTTCTATCAACCAAGAATCTGACTGAGTTGAAAGGGAAAAAAAGTTGAAAGCCAGAGAAGAGAAGAAGCAGGAGGCAAAGTGATGATCAAAAAAAATGAGCAGAATTTACAGAATATACTTGTATGTTTCAGGGCTCACAAATATTGTTATACCAGATTGCTTCACATCCCATAAAGCCTTGAAACTACAATATTCTCTCTTTAACACAAACGTTCCATGAAACAATCATAAGACTAAACAAGAGCAAGCATTGCAAGAGCTAGGAAAAAAGTATTAGAAAAATAGAAAAAATATATAAAAAAATGACACAATTAAATAATAAATGAAATAAGCCAAATGATAAATCACATAAAAATTGCTTGTATGAAAAAAAAGAAATGTATGGTTGCTCTCACAGAAATACACAGGTTGTAACTGAAATGGATCCTCAACACTTTAATGCGAACCACATGATTATTGCTAATCCATCTGACCAACTCAATGTAAAGAACCAACTCTAATTGGTGATTTATTCAGGAACTGGCCATTGCTGGTAAGCACCAGGAGCTGGGACTCAAACCATAGTCTAGACCGCACACAAGACTACCTTTAATGATACAAATATCTTTCAAGTTATTTCTTAAAAAAGGCAAAATATATATTTGCTTTAATGCAAATGGTATTTATTTAATTGTGCTTTAAGGCACTTTTTTTCTTCATAAAAAGTATATATATACTGTGTGTGTGTGTGTGTGTGTGTGTGTGTGTGTGTGTGTGTGTATATTAAGGCTACAGGTTAACAAAATAATAATGTTAATGACCACATCACCATGCTTAAACTTAATCTAACAGAGTATGCACAGAGATCGGAAGAATTTTTGCAGTCATAGAGATTTTAGGAGGGATTTGGATGTTTTCATTTTATTCAAATTTAAAAAAAACGTCCCAACATTTCTGGAATTCGGGTTGTATTTGGGTATTTTGACTCAGACCCCAGAAAAGACCATATTTGTTTCGTTATAAAATTTATTCTTTTCTTAAGCAAATTTTACATTCACAAATGCAAATTCTCAAATTGCCACCAGATGGGGCTGTTTTCAAAACTCATGAAGCTTGTGTTTTTCCCTGAACAGACAGAGGAGAGGGGAATAATTATGCAATTAAATAATTCTAATAATTTCTATTTGTTATTCTGCTTTAGGGTGAGGGTGTAATATAAATGTAAATCATGTAAATAAATTCCCTTTTGTCCTTATTTTTTCACAGATCTTCATAGATGAATCCGTGTAAAAAAAACAACAACTCTCAAATAAAATAAAATGATAAAAAATATTAATAGAAACACAAAAAGTGCAGCTTCATTTAGAGAGCAAGGGTCTAACTAGTACTTGCCAATACAGTGTTTTAGATGAGGAAGAAAGATGATGAATGTGTTAGACTGCGAAATCAAAGTTCAGCGTTTGAAATCATATGAAAAATGTCAGATGATGCATATTTATTTATTTATTTATTTAGAGGAATTAAAAAAAACACCTACATTCTTCCTGAATATTTTAATATAATTTTAATCTTAAAGAATCAGACATTATTTGATCATGTTAATACTTCTGTAGTACTGTAAATTACAGTGTGATTCAGTTTATCATACATCAGGATTTTCTCACATTTAAAACACTGTCAAATATTCAGGAAAGAAACCTAAATTCCTCAAAAACACAATTCCAGTCTTTAGATGTTATTTTGGCAGCACGAGGGGGATCTACACAACATTAGGCAGGTGCTTTTAATGTTGTGGCTGTTATAAGGACCTGAATCTGTAAAAGAGAGAGTTTTTATTACTAGAGATTGACTAACAATTCTGTCAAAACCTTTATGATATTGCATGGCGCCATCTGGTGTTCTGAATAATAGCATCACAGCAGCACTATGCAACAGAAAACAGTGTTCACAGGAAAACTGATTCGTTTTACACAGTTTTCAGGTTAATAGTTTTTATATATCGTACCTGGGATAGTGCTACAAATATATACACAGGAAAGTACTGTTGGTATCTGTTCATAGAGATATATCTGAAATAAAAGTCTACAAAGTGTAAATATGTAAGCCACAATAAAGGCAAAATATGTGAAAACTGGTGAAAAGCTGCAGAAAAGGCCCTTACATTATTAGACTAAAAAAGACAACCAAAAGATTAAA